CATTAAATACATCCACTCATCCATGTTAATGAGTCAAACTTCACTGAAAGGCATTCAAGCCACACACGAACGACAAGCCCCGTAAAACCGTCGTACAGTCAAACCACCACAGGAGCGTTTCGTTTGTCCACAATTCGATTTGTTAAACGAGCGATTCGATCTGTCAAATGTTCGAACAGATGCTTCTAACGAAATATGCAGTCAAACGATATTTTCTTTCATCCGAAAATCGAGACTACTTTGATCATTTTTGAGTAAATATGAGTAACTCAAATTTACTCGCTACAAATATATTTACTCTGAGTACAGCTATCTTGCCCCCAGCTCTAGTGTTGGGAATCGAAAATATTTGACAGTGGTTTGTTTACACTTCTATAGAGGACAACTGGTACAAGTTTGATCAAAGTAGTCGATCGCGTTTAGAAATAACATCAAATGGAACTCGAAAGAAGAAAGCTTCCCGGTCAAAAGTTTTACATCGCGACTGGACGATTCAAGTTCGTGTTTGCCGACAAGTTCGCGAAGAAGGCCATGATTTGGCAAGCGATTTGCAGTTGTGGCCTGAAAGCGGAACCGTTCGTCACGTCCTCGACGATGACATCCCAAGTTTACATTGAAGAATGCCTGAAAAAGCGTCGATTGCCGTTCATCCACAAGCATAGCGGCAAAGCCATCTTTTGGCCTGATTTGGCTAGCTGCCACTACTCCAATGTGGCTCTGGAGTGGTATGCTGTCAACAAGATCGATTGTGTCCGTAAGCTAATGAATCCTTCAAATTTCCCGGAATTTCGTCTGTCGCAAAATACTGAGCAATTTCAAAGCAGCGACATCGAAGGAGCGGCGGGGCAGTCAAGGACATCCAGCAAATGCGGGCAAAATGGAAGAAATGCGCTGATTCTTTGTCCGTTTCCACTGTGCGGGCACTGATGGGCTCCATCAAGAGGAAGGTTCGAGATTTCGTTCGAACTGGATAAATGTAACCATCTAATGCTTTGAAGTTTTAATAAAAGTACTGTACAGCAACCATTAATGGACTCTTTAAACTTATTGAATCACGAATTACAGATCTTTTAGTGCATTTCAATTTACTTTTAGTCAGCCTTTAAGACCACGTAGTCCTACGTCACCATGGCGTACAACCCCATAGAGCTGTCCCTTGTAGTTTTTTAAACTGCAAAATCACACATATTACACAAATCCTCGGCATTCTCCGATGATAAACTTGGTGAAATGTTCTTCTTTCTCAGCAGAATATAAAAGTTCTGTTCACCAATTCAGTTTCCGTCTCATTTATTCGTAAGATTATCCTTTCAATATGAGCTTACTTTGTTACTTCTGCTGATGTCTGACGATGTTGGTATGTATGTAGGTAGTAGGTACCATCTGACCATGGAACAACCGGACGTTTCGAGAAAATTCTTTGCTACAATTCTATCATCCACAGCAAGAAAAGAAAGAACAGTCCAATGTTTCTGTTCCGGATACGATAGCCCATCCAGCAGCTGTAAGTGTGTGATCAAGCTAAAAGCCGGACATAAAGGCTTGGATTTTCATCGGAGAATGAATGCTGCTACTGGCACACCATGTAAATATTAGGGTGGGTCCACATTACAACCCCATGCTCGCCATTGCTCTATCGATGCGTATTAAGGTCCCCAACAACTGTGCAAAATTCGAGCGAATTTGGTTAAGATCTAGATTTGCGAGAGAATTTTAAATTTTGTATGAACAAATGTATGGAAAATGTCACAAAACTATTCATTTGCTTGTCAGACATTCAAAAATTGCTCAGCTTGGATTAAGATTGGGAATACTATGCAGAACAACTTTGTCGAAGACTGCAAATTAATTCGACTTCTGTTTAAAAATATATTAAACCAAATACTTCACTCGTACGTACAAGGTCGTACTACAGTCGATATATTTATTGTCTAGCGGATAGAATCTCGGGAACCAATTGAGCTGTCAAATAGCGGAACCAATCTAGCAAATCACGACCATCAACAGAAAAGAGCACATCAGCTATTGCGAACAAAACTTTGGAAACCATTTTATCGTGATTCAAGGCTCACCTACGCAAACTAACACTATATTTGGGTTGGGGAAAGTTTCAATTTGCTTTCGATTGTCGAGGAAAGAATAATCAACGTTTTGTTTATAAAAGTTGATAGGACCTTTTCAATTGTTGTTCTACAATATATTGAATTGTTTTCGCTTTTTGATAGATCGAAATTCTATCCGCCAGCCTATAAATATTTCATTTCTTTTATTTAACGTCGGTCTCTGTTCCGCAATCTAGTGCCAATCACCGACGGACATCGATTGCCATCCATTGATGGCAATCGAATGTGCAGGAAGGCAGCTTCCACACCTGCGTAGGATATCGCACCCATTCAACAACACACATGGGCCGGGACCAACGGCTTTACTTCCCTTCCGAAGGAAGACGTGACCAGAGATTTTTATGCCTCAGAAAAATCCCACCGACCTCGGCTGGGATTGAACCCAGACCCATTGGGGAGTTAGAAAGCAGTCACGCTTACCACTACACCACCGGCGCCGGTTTGCCTATAAATATAGCAACTATAGGTCGTTACGCCTGTAGGTAGATGCTGAGCAATTGAACTTTTTGACGTTTAATCGGCGCACACTACTGCACCATTTATATCGAACTAGTGCGAACAAGAGGGAAACAGATTAGTGGGAAAACAACCGGTCGATTCATACATGCGTGCTAGATAGAAAAAAAAGAGAGAAAGACGATTTAACGTCAAAAAGTTCGATAGGCCTAGAGTAAATTAATAATAACTGTTTTTGAGAAAGTTAGAGGATACTGAGAGGGAAGCACATATCATCGGTAAAAGACGTGTGTGTTATGAAATTTGCGAAAAAATTCCTGGGCACCGGTGAGATTTGAACCCTGCATTCCCATTCAGTACACGGGTGCATTGCTAATGATACAACGGGGAGGTATATCGTCTATGGATGTATTTGGCTAATGACATTTGAGTTTCGAATCCGTTTCCCTCTCTAGTGCTTACCTCTCAGTATCGTCTAACTTTCTCATTAACAATTAAAATATACTGCAAAAACGCTTACCGCAATTAAAAATAATAATAACAACTTTTTTCCCAAAAAGTTAAAACGATTTGCGGTCTTTGACAAAGTTGTTCTGAATAATATTCCCAATCTAAATCCGAGGTTTGCTTGAATTTGAGCAATATTTGAATTTTCGAAAAGCTAATGAATAGTTTCGTGTCATTTCCCATACATTTTTCCTAACATAATTTGAAATTCTCCAGATCATAATCAAATTCGCTCAAATGTTGCACAGTTGATCTCAATACGCATCGGAAGAGCAGCCGTGAGCATAGAGTTGTAATCCACCATATAAACTTGACCCACCCTAGTCAACATGGTTCTTGTCCATTTCCATTGCATGCGGCGCGATGAGTAGCAAAATCATGCTTTTAGTTTCCCCTGCTACGCAACAATGAAACATGTTCACAAAAACATCGGATGGGAGAGATTACCGGAGACACACACACACACACACATACACATACAAAAGAAACAAATGGTCAGGGAAAAGGAAATGGAAATTTAATTAAAGCTCTGCGAGGGGCAACTGCTGGTACAACGAAAACAACTACAACTGCAAGGGTAGGTAATCTTTGTGTTGCTGCTTCGCCAAGCATGAAAATTGTGCATTTCAATGAGCTGATCAACTGGAGCGATTAATTTGGGATTGTGATACTGGTTGGAAAAGAGTGTCTATCGGTGGTAAAACATTTTTCTAGCAACTTAATGTTTAACTTGGGCGAAAGGCTATCTAATTTGCGACACGTGCAACTAATAGATGAAAATCCTTTCGACAAACGTGCGATTAAAACTTTGGAACAACGCCGAGAGACTATCAGTATTCACAATCCATTAAGCCGGTTTCAACTGAGCAGCAGGAATTTATCGAAGGACCCTTCTTGGCACCCACTCAAAGTAAACTTGGGTGGGTATATCAGACGCAACGCAGCTACTTGATTTGGACAAGGAACAACCGAGACCGACAAAGTTTATTTAAAGTTAAATCTGCCGGCTTCCGATGTACCGATCCAACCGAAAACGGGAGCATCTCTCACCCAACTCAAACAGAGTTCCAGAAAGATGAGGATAGGGGCCCACTGCCGTCCATTGCTCAGTCTATCATCACAATAATGTTAGTTTGGGGTTGTTGATTTACGTGCCAGTGTTCGGTCCTTCAGAGGAACTTTTCCGAGATACAATCGAAGCTTTCAGTAGGAGGTTTTGGCTTGAGTAGAGATAAGATTGGCGAGAAGCTTGAGTAGGTATGCGAAAGGAACTTGAGCTTGTGCCGGGGACGGTGAAACCCGGGAACGGTTGGTTAACTTTGAATTAATCTTTTTGTATAACGATTAAACTTTTCTCATAAGATCAAGGTAAATTTCCGAGTACATCGCTTCTGAGTAGTGTTCTTCAATTACGTCGACAGCAATCCATCCCGCATTTCAACCATGACTATGTCACAAAAACATCATCTCATAACACAGAGAAAAAAAAACGGACGTGTGCCAATTTCTCAACAGCCGAACGACGATAGAATATCCACAAACTAAAATTCCTTTCTCTTCATCTTCCAGCGGTAAATATACTCCCATCAGGGAAGGGAAGGGAAGGGGTGGGGAACTTGTATCAATTTCAGCTACCTCTCCGCAACATGCCGCATATTTTTGTTTGCTCCTGTCTGTGAGAAGGACCTCTCGGTATCAGACAAGAGTGCTGCATCGCTGTGGCTTGTCGGAGAATGATGATGGTCGGTTGATTCCGAAAAAAGCAAACGAACATCACAGAAAGCACGCATTGGTTGGTAGTGTGTCCTGTACACTGAGGGAAATAAACTTAAGAATTCCGTAAGGCATGACTTGTGAACCGGGACAGTTTTGATTTCATAAGACACGTATGAATTTTATAACTACGCATTATTAATGATTATCGTTGGTGCCGTGACCAGGATTCCTGGTTTTCCCGTTCCCAACCACGTGAGATCAACGACATAACCTCATTGGATCGATTGAGCCGCTGCATACCCCTCTGGAAGTTACTGCTGGTTCCAGAATATAAATATACAAGGCCTCTTTTCAAGAGGTACAATGTGAGTACCTCTCCAACCTTCTCACCTCCAGTTTTGTGGTGCTTCTTTGGTCTCTTTTCGACCATTTCAGTCAAACTGTCTGCATAGTGTCGACGATATTGAGGAACAGCTCGACATGCCCGACGAAAAGCGCATGAAAATAAAGGAAGCCAAACGACGGAACGCCATCGATGGCTTCAAGCGCATGGACTTGTTCCTCGCCAACTACATTCCTGAACAACACCAGCACGAAGTTACACTTCGCTTGGAACGTGTGGAGAAAATATGGGAAGTGTTCGAGACCATACAGGACGAGTACGAAGATATGGATGACGAGGAAGAATTCGTAAAGAAGAACCTGGAGTTGCGTGCCCAAGTGGAGCAGCTGTATTTCCGTGTGAAAGCTGGGCTTGCTACGAAGTTGCCACCTTCTCCCGTTCCTGTTGTTTCTGGACCTTCCACTGCACCACCCGTTACGCCTACTCTCGCCAACGTGAAGTTACCAACCATATCGCTCCCCGAGTTCGATGGTGATTTTAATACCTGGTTGACTTTCCACGATACTTTCTTGTCGATGATTCACTCGTCGACAGAAATTTCCCAGGTACAGAAATTTCACTACCTCCGGGCTGCTTTGAAGGGTGAAGCAGCCAATTTGATACAGTCGGTAACAATAACGGCCAACAACTACGCCGTAGCATGGCAGACGTTGGTCAACCGATACTCCAACAAGGCCATCCTCCGTAAGAAACATATTCGGGCCCTACTCAAGCATCCCACGATTCCGAACAACAACGTTGATGCCCTTCACAAGATCGTGGATGAGTTCCAACGCCACACTAAGGTTCTGGAACAGCTTGGTGAACCAGTGGATCAGTTTAGCTCTATTCTCATCGAATTGCTTGAGGATAAACTGGATGATGCGTCGCTCACTGCCTGGGAGGAATCAGTCGCCGTTGACGAACATCCCACCTACGACAAGATGGTCGAGTTTCTGCAGAAACGTGCCCGAATTCTGGGGACGATTGCCATAAATCAGCCGCAGCATGCCAGCCCCAAGCCTGGCAACCAGTTCCCCGCATCGAAGAAACCAAATCAGCCTCGCTTAAGCACCATCGCGGCGGCTGAGATCCCGTCAAAGATCTTCCCGATCTGCCCAGCCTGCGACAAGCAGAAACACTCGCTTTTCGACTGTTCCGTATTCAACGGACTAGATACGAAAGGCCGCCTGAAGGTGGTCACGGACAAGAAGCTCTGCAGCAATTGCCTCCGTAGCGATCATTTTGCCCGAAACTGCCGCTCCAAATTCAGCTGCAAGCACTGCGGTAAGCGGCATCACTCTATGATACACCCAGGTCCGTTCGAGATGAATAAGTCTACTTCCGAAGATAGTGCCACGATCAGTTCCGAAAATTTTCCGCCTGGCATTTCCAGTGTTTCAACTGCTGTAGTAGCAACACCCGCTCCAGAGTCATATCAACGGTGAAATCCTCTAACACAAATGTTTTCCTCACGACCATGGTACTGATCATTGCTGACGTCTACGGTCAAGATCACATCGCCCGTGCCCTGTTGGATACAGGTCCGCAACCCATCCAGCAACCGATTGGTCAACTTCCGATCGCCCGTGTTACCGCCAACGAAGCCTTCGCCTGCACCGGCGTTGATTATTGTGGTCCCATTTTCCTCAAGCCAACACATCGCAAAGCAGCTGCCCGCAAATCCTACATTTGCATTTTCGTTTGTATGAGCACAAAGGCGGTCCACCTGGAGCTCGTGAGTGACCTGAGTACAGCCGCATTCCTGATGGCACTTGATCGGTTCGTTTGGAGGAGGAATAAGCCCCAGCACTTGTATTCAGACAACGGCACAAACTTCATCGGGGCGAAAAATGAAATGCACGCCCTGTACACTATGCTCCAACCCGGTCCCGACAACAACAAGATCGTCAAACGCCTTGCCGAAGACAGCATCCAGTGGCACTTGATCCCTCCTCGTGCTCCTAACTTCGGTGGCCTCTGGGAGGCGGCAGTGAAGGTTGCCAAAACTCACCTCGTTCGTCAACTCGGCTCTTCTTTGCTGTCCTTCGAAGAGATGTCCACGGTGCTGATTAAAATCGAAGGGTGCATGAACTCTCGTCCGCTGTTGCCGCTTTCGAGCGACCCGAATGATCTTGCCGCCCTCACCCCAGCGCAGCGAATCCAAACACATAAAGCAACCAACGATACAGACAAAACGGTTGCTACGACTACCATGACAAACTCGCTCTGTAACAAAGCTCGATCCGAGTGGTAGAAGGATAATGATATATTGCTTGCCTGCTTTGTTGCAATATACACGGATGAGGACATAGCTTGATATGAATCGGGAAAAGACATAACAAAAAAATTCCCATTAACACACGTGTATCATCTTCGGCTTTACTTCGTGAAGCAGCTTGCCAACAATTTGCTCGTTTCCTTCTACCGCCCCGAATGAGTTGGGTCGCACGAGCTGCTTGTCATGAAAAAGAACGGTGAAGATTATATCATTATTGTTTTCCACTTCTGACATAGCGTTATTATTCGGTTTGTTGATCGCTTGTTATTTTGTCATTTGGAGATATTTTTGATTCCTTGCCCCAGCGCATTTCTTGGTGAGAAATATGATCCGCCCTCTTCCTGAAGCAGACATCCGAAATGTTCCGTTCAACCGGCTTAGCCGGTACCAAAAGCTTCAGAAGCACTCGCAAGTTTTTTGGCACCGTTGGCGAAATGAATATTTGAAGGAGTTGAACCTACAGTACCGGACCAACCCGAAGCGTTACCAGCTCAGCATTGGTGACGTCGTCATCGTGAAAGATGATTCTCTTCCTCCTGCCCGCTGGCCACTGGCCCGCATCCTTGAGCTTCACCCCGGAGCTGACGGAGTTACCCGAGTGGTTAGCCTTCGAACCTCAACTGGAATTCTGAAGAGGGCAGTCTGCAAAATTTGCCCTTTGGAGTGTGCCTTAGAAGAATAAGATTTGCAATGAATTTGTAAGCAACAAAACATTTTTTTGAAATTAGTAAATTAACTTTTGATTTAGTCTAATTTGTTTCGCAAATAATTTGCGAAGGTGGCCGGTATTATGATAGGTAATAAACTGAATAACTACTGTAGTTAGAAACGGCACAGTGAAATATTTCAGTAGCATAGCGCTTTTCGCTATGTTTTGCTCTTCCTTCGCATTGACAGCTAGAAATGTCATGTTCAATTTGAAATGCACCTTACAAATAATGGGTTGTTAAGAACCATTACCATTTAAAATTGTTGTTTTCTCCATACATTTTCGGAAAGAAAATTTTAATAGAACCTTTTTACTTATGGTTTGAGAATTATTATCGTAATAGTTATGGTATTCAGTAAGGTGCATGGATGGTTTTGTAACATCAATCCACTTTATGTGGAATATATCGCGAATAGGTTGCCTGTAAATTTATGATTACCGATACATAATACATGTGGTTAAAACTTAACGTTCATGTTAAGTTTCATAACCATTTCAGTCAGGGTTGCTTCCACTCACTTGCTATAAAACAATGTTTTTCGGAATCATGGAATCAATAGATGATGCAATGATATATTAGACTGGCCCAAATTTATATGGGGGATTTTTTTTATCTTTTTTTTCAACGGGCCAACTCCCAGATTTGTGCCATTATGTGAGAAAACAACTCTCTAAAAATTTCAGCTCATGCGGATGTAACACGAGCTGGAGCTTTTGGCTTAAAGTTTATGTGGGGATTTTTTTTCGAAATGTATGGAGAATTAACATCCCTTCACTCTTTCGTGCATAAAACTGGTTCAGCAAACTCTTTTAAGCTCAGAATTTCAGCACATGTAGCTTAATCTATGAGAAACAACTTTGTTGGAGACAGCATGATGATTCAAGTTAGTATTATGGAGAAATTCATTCTTGAATTTACATGTGCATTTTGTTCGAATATTGCAGTAAAATACAGGCAGCTTATGCAACTTATCAACAAGATTATCACTAAAATAATAAAAATTCATATTTTCCATAAGCCAACATCCAGACTCGTGTCAGTAGGTGAGATATCCACTCTCTGACTGTTTCATCTATTTTCGACGTTAACCGGCTGGCGCTGTTGGTTTAATGTTAATATAGGAGATTTGGTTGAAATTGTCATAGACAAAATGCTCATATACATTCAAAAGCGAGTATCTCATTAAAACTAATCGGATTCATCATGCAGTCTTCAGCAAAGTTGTTACTTATTGTAAGGAATACAAGTTTTGAAAATCTGAATCAAATCGAGAATAAGGGAACTTTTTTTGATCAATCCAGTGTAGGAGTGTCATTTTTTTTAAATTTTTTATCCAAAATCCCCATAAGCGCCAGCTTATCCTACAACCAAATGAGCTAAAACTTTCAGAGAATGGATTTCTAACCTAAAGGCACAAATCTAGAGGTTGGCCCGTGGAAAATTAGAACTTTTATTTTTGTGGACCAGTCTAATGATGTATTGTTCTTGTAAGTAACAAGAAGAGGGTTCAAAGTATTGTCAATTAACAGAAATCATAGCATGCATTGAAATTGTACAAAGAAAAAGAAGAAACAACCACAACTGTCAAATTAAGCCGGAATGTTTTCCGCGTGATTGGCTGGATTATCATTAGATTATCACTCAGGCTGTGCCGGAAGTACCTGTAAACCTACGATCTAACAACTGTGAAGAGGGGTGCCACCATGGAATAAAGTAGTATACAGGTCCTTAGGTTGGTCGGAGGATCATGTACTCTTGCACTGGCAGGCAGTTTTCAGTTACTTTTCAATTAAAATAGCTTCAGTTTTCTACACTTTATCTTGTGAACTTCCATCTAACTTGTTATTGTTTTGTAATGTTTTATGCGTTGTCATGCAAACAAGGAAAGATTTTGGTTCAGTGCTCGAAATTCTTAAAGCAGCTGTCAGTGGCGGTTGTCAATTTCGGTTGTCAAATATGACACCAAATTCTAATTTTTCTCTGAATTGGCAATATGTGTTTGACTAAGAAAACCTGTCAATTTTACTTTCAGAACGTCACAATCAGCGATTTTATGGTTCGTGAGAGTTCGCTTAGAGTGAGCGCTCACGAATCGTAAAATCACTAATTGTGACGCTTTGAAAGCAATATTGACAGGTTTTATGTGCCAAACACATACTTCACGACCTCTTCTTGTAGCTTACAAGCTCTTATCATCATTATAACATCTAAATTTTCATAATTAGGAAAAAAATTAAAAGCTAGTGAGTGGAAGTAACCCTGATTTCAGTTAAAGTTTAGCAGGAATTATAAACAATTTTTAACCATTTTCGGTAAGGTCAAGTTATAGTTCACGTTTACGCGTAAGGACAAATAGAACTGCGAGGAAGAAGAAGATTTTATCTTTTTCTTCCTCAAATATTAGCTTATTGCGTGATCTCAAGTGTTCTAGATGCGCTTCCACAGTTATTAATAATTGAGAGTTTTCGATGATGCCTTTTCCATTTTTGCATTAGCATACTCTATGCCCAGGGAAGTCGAGAAATTGTTCAACCTGAAAATTTCCAAGACCGGACTGGAAATCGAACCCAGCCACCTCCATTGTAGGTGCACCTTTATCGACTGAGCTAAGGGAGGATCAAATCTAAAGCTCCGTTATGGTGCCTTTTAAGTTGTGAAGATCAGTCCTTTAAAAAGGATGACTTTTGATGCAAGACCAGGCATCCTCAACAAGTTTAAGGAAAAGGATATACTAATGTCCACAACAGGTACAGCAAAAGATCACATAGATGCCTTATTCGCACTATCTATTCAGGGAAAGACGGAAAAGAAGAGCCACCACACCCAACTGAGGCTTGAAACGGGTATCGTAAAACGGGGTTACTTTGACAGTTTTTCGAAGTATATTCTAAATATTTTTTACAGCAATTCATGTTTTTCAAATTTATTTGTTTTAAAACAAGTACTGATGTTCCTAGAGTCGATTCGCTACTAATATGTTTAATGGAAATTAAAGCATTTGCACCATTATTAAAATCTTGTGACCGAACATCAGTATTTTGATTTGGGGTTACTTTGATAATACTCGATGAATGTAGAAGAAAATGCGTGAAACTCAAATAATTTAGTTTTAAAAATATGAAGCTTTGAATAGGTATATAATCAGAAATCATCATAAGCAATAAGACTACAACTTTGAATTTGTGATGGCTGTATAGGAAAAACATTTCATAAGTGATGGTTTGAGTGCCTTTTCAAACAAGCGAAAATCAACAAAATTGTGTTTTAATATGTTTGTAAAATATGCATCACATAGGTTCTATATAAAATGTATATTCCATATCAACTGAAATACCCTAAGCTACAATGTGGGACCAATGTATCCAATTCGAAAAAAAGCGCAGAGAGTAAATTCAATCAGTATATTCTACTATCAAAGTTACCCCGTTTTACAGTACATGAGAAACCCACAATAGCC